ACGCCCTCCTCCCCTGGTTTCCTCCAAGTAAGGCTATGCAGTTTTATTTCAGGAACACCCTGGAAAATGCTTGGTGACATAGCCCCCCAAATGATGTCCAAAGGGTCCCGCAATTTCCTCTGAGGAATGGTTTCCGTTTCCGTTTGGGTTGCCCTGTGCTCACTCCAACATTTGGGCTGTTCAAAGGTCAGCCATTGGGTTTCGATAGGAGTCTGGGCCAGAAAGCTGCCAATAGTCTTGAGCACTGGAAACTGGAGCCTCTCTGGTCGATCGATGTTTCTCTTTTTCTTTGTGTTGTTCTTTTCTGGGGGGAGTCTGGGTTGGACTTGGACTTGCTAAATTTAGCATTGCCAAGACTCTCCAATTCCCAGATTTGCAAAGTATTGACCACCATATCAAAACAACGCTTGATATGAGGAGGGCGCGGAAACAATCAGATTAAGCGGATCAGGGGCTCTTGCGGGGCACCCCCTTTGCGTGACTGTTTCATTATGGGTTTCTGCAAAAATCGATGGTCAGGGGGCCCACTTCAAGAACAGGAATTCCAAGATCTAAGGTCAGCTCTGAGCTGGAAGGACTTAGAAAAGCCACCCTTGAAACGTAAATAAAGCTAAGGCTTTGATATTGTATTTTCTGTGTTAGTCCGGAACTCCCCAGTAGAGGACCCCAAAACAGTCCCAGGATCCAGAAATCTGAAGAACACTTCGTACAATAGAATGCCCCAGTTGCAAAATGTGTCCAACATTACTTACTCTTTTCTGCTGGGCGTAGTGGTTTGGGCTAGAGATGTGTGAAATCCCACAGAAGGCGAAACTGTGCCGTTTGGTTTCACCTTGATGCTTCAGCTGTTTCAAAGGGTTTCTGCACGTGCCAAGTCCAACCAACTAGGCCAACCCAACCCAACCCACCAATTATCAACCCACCAACCCACCAACCCATCAACCCAACCACCCACCCACAACCAACCAGCCAGCCAGCCAGCCAACCAACCAACCAACCCAACCAACCCAACCTAACCACCCAACCACCCAACCACCCAACCACCCAACCACCCAACCACCCAACCACCCAACCACCCAACCACCCAACCACCAACCAACCAACCGACCAGCCGACCAAGCAACCAACCAACCAACCACCAACCAACGACCTTTTCTGGCTGTTTCAAGGAGTTTTTGCACATGCCACGTCCACCCAACCAACCAACCAACCAACCAACCAACCAACCACCCAACCAACCACCCAACCACCCAACCAACCAACCAACCAACCAACCAACCAACCAACCCACCAACCAGGCAATCAGGCAATCAGGAAAATCAGGCAATCAGGCAACCAGACCATTTTGTTTCACGGGACTCTGACCATAGACCAAGCAACGCAGACCAGCGGGCGCCTGCGGTGCTTCAACAAGGATCCGGGGGACCAGGCGATTTGGGCAAGTCGCGTCGAAAGGTTCGTTCTGAGTGGGGGTCCCGTGGTCAAGAGCGTGTTGTCTTGGTATCTCTTGATGGTTAAACGAAGAGGGCAAGAATATGTTGGTGTGTTTCTGAGTACCCTTTTTTGATGGCTACATGCGTTTCAGGGCGAACCACACATTGAGATGAGGGATTGGTCCGGTTTTGTGATGAATGGTTCACGGAGTAAACGCACAGACCAGGGCCAAGAACCTCAACCCCTCGCAGGATTTGGATGCATGGTAGATGCTTGTAGTGGGGTGCAACGCCACCACAGTCTTATTATACTTATATTTGTTCATTTGGAGAGAGCCCCAGGGCCAACGTTTCAACTTTTTGGGGACCTGGGAAAGCTACTGCGAAGACCTGGGAAATCTTTTTCTTCCCGTAGCATTTCGCGGCGGAACCCACGAAACACCTTTATTATAAGGAACAAATGGTGCATGCATCCTCAGAGTCCGGGGTTTGCAGAGTTAATTCACAATACCTATGCTAGTGGTTTTCCTTGCAGTGGTCCTGGCGTCCTTTTAAGGCCAACGGGGGTTCCTTGCGTTTTGAGTTGCCCGGATAGTGTAGGCTTGAAATCTTGCCTAAAAGGACGCCGTTGCCGCCGTACATGTCGCAGGCACTTCTACAGAGGCCAAAACCCCCCAGGTCCTTTACTTAGAATCCAGTGTAAAGATGTAGATGCCGTGACATCCGACAATAACTGGTCGTATAATCGGATATGTTTTCCCCCAGCAGCTGAAAGCTATGGGACCTTTGCCCAGATGGGCGGTTTTGGGCAGCTTCTAGGAGTGTTTCGGGGGGTACCTTGGGGTTTGGCTGCTGGATCCTTGCGCGAGCTAGCGATTGGCGAGCGAAACCTATTTCTTCTGAAGAGGAAAACTTGCAATTCTTTCTTTTTTTTGCACGGCCTTGCTTGGCCTTGCGTACTCCTCATTTTCGGGCACCAAGCCTAAATCATGTGGAGGTGGGTCCACCTTTTTTTGACGCGGCCCGGGGCACCCTTGTTGGTGGGAGCCAACACTTTGCTAATGTCACTATGCTTGATACAAGGCAATGATTTGATCAGTTCATGGTTGGATGGCTTCACTTTGCTACCACAGGGACGTGTTGTTTTCTACAATTCAGAAACTTTTTTCCTGCCTTCTCCCCAAACACACCTCCAGTTTCCCAGTTTCAGCCCATGTTAAATGGTCACGTTTGGGAGTGTGTTTGGGCGGGGCCCCCGAAGTTGTTTTTTCCACGCCTCAGGCAGACCTTTTGGTGCGACCTCCCTGGCATAGAACTCTGTTCATCGACGAGAACGAGCTCAATGTGACCGCAGACGCGCCTGGCCGATGTTCTTCGTTAGCCGGATGCAGAGCCTGAAGGGCTTTGCCCCGGCCAAAACAAGTGCCCCCCCCCCAAAAAAAAAACAACAACAACAAAAACACAAAGCAAAAAAACGATCCGGATTCTAGCGTTTTTGTTGCAGGACATCCCAGCTCCATCAATCATCCGGATGCCCTTTGCAGAAAGGACCGGTTTTTCCGGAGCTGTCAAACTTCAAAACTTCCACAGACCTGGTGGCGGTGGTGGCAAGCCCAGTACAGTTCTTAAGGTGAGTGAACTGGGGCTTGGGGCTTCCTGGGGCCGGTAAAGCATTTCCAGCGGCTTGAAAGCCCTACAAGTTGGCCGGTGCACGACCAGCCCGGAGACCAAAAGGTGGACCCAAGTAATTCGCCAAACCGTAGACTTTCAATCGGGCTTTTCCTGTCGCGAATCCACCAAAGGGGGGATCCACCACTCTGACAAACACTTCTATGGTCATGCTTACCTCTTAAAAACACAACTTTTCAACTTGTTGGGTAACATGGGCTATACCTAGAACTTCCTGCGGCGGAAATTTCTGCCGCAACGCATTGCGGCGGAAATTCCCGCCGCATTCCAGAAAATCAGCCGCAAACCAAAAAAAACGCCGCAAGCAAAACAAAAACGCCGCAACACCGTTTGCTTCCCGGAATTTCCGCCGCATTCCCGCCGATTTCCGCCGCATTCCCGCCGATTTCCGCCGCAAATCGGGGGGTAGAAAAAACTGAAAACAAGTTCTGCCGCAATTTAAAAAAACGCTGCAAATCAGGAAGAAATGCCGCAAATCCAAAAAGGCGCCTTTTTTGATTTGCGGCAGAAATTTCTGCCGCAACGAATCTCTAGGTATGTCTGTAAAAGATGAACTTCCCCAGGGCTTGGAGTTTTAAGGGGTAAGCATGAGTTCCAGTGCTCTTGCAAGGTTCGGCCACGAAACCTGAAGCACAGCTGGCCTCTCAAATGGAACAGTGCCGAAGCTAGCGTGCCACGACCCAGGGGCAGAAAAAACCGGACGCTTAGACGGTTTTGGGGTCAGGCTTTAGTGAAGTGCTCCATGATTTCAGCGTGGTGTTCCTTGAAACTTATGTTCCATGGTTTCTTGCTTTCAGGTTCTGCCCCATCTTGCAGTTCCAAACTCTGGCGATTCTTCTGGGATGCTCGCCCAAATTCTGGCTGACAAATACCGCTTGGCGCCCCCAGGAACTCCCCAAACCCGGCCCTCGCAAACACCCCACAGCCCACCCACCACCCACCCACCCACCCGCCCGCCCGCCCGCCCGCCCATACACCCACCCCCCGTTGTGCTCTCGAAATCCTAAGGTGAACGTGCTTGGCTCCCGCGTCTACGGCCACCATCTTGGCGCGCCTTGCAACACTGCGCAGGCGCTGCCCACCTTTCGATTAGCCGCCCGGCCGCGTGCCCAAGTCCCAGTTTCAGCTTGGGGGCAGCCGGGCGTGTCGCCTTTGCGGGGGACCTCCAAAATGGCTTCGGCTTTTACTTTTCGGATTTCCGTTTAAGACCACAAAAGACATGGCACGCCCAAGAACAGGAAAAAACAAAATAGGTGGATTTCACAGTTTCTATTTTGGTTCGATCAATCGGGTCGGTTTCACTTGTCCAGGTCTTGAAGCGGGTTGATGGATGGGCGAACCAGAAGACGGTCAACACACCACCCCTTAGTTCCTTAGCCAGGCCCCGGTTTGTTCAGTAAAGGTGGTCAACTCCAAAAGCTTCATGTTTTCCTACCATCGTCACTGGGCAAATCAGTGGCGTGTTTTTTTCCTCACAGGTACGTTTGCCAATGTTTGGGCAGACAGTTCAACAGTAGATACATCGCGCCAACCTTCTTCCCGCTCAACTCGTGCCAAAGGCCGCGCCATCACTCACCTCTTGCCAAAGGCCACCAAGCGAAAAACGTGAGCGCAACGTTTGGGGAAGCACATCGCCAGGCTTGGCGCCGTTTTTTGTTAGCGTTCGTTGGGCAGTTTTCCGGGACCAGGTCGTCAATTAGGATCGGATCCGACCACCGGCCCCTGCGTGGGGCGTGGGATTCTGTTTGGAGTTTGGGGGTGAAAGGGACCAAGACCAAGATGTTCCTTTCTCAGAAGCCCCCTCAGCTTGAGGCAGCTCGAAAGCATTGAGCACGCACTAAGGAGATTATCACCCCCACCGGCCGATATCAGTTCGGCATGGAGGAGGAGCGTGTTTGGCGATCGTGGTTCCGAGCGCTTCACGTGCCTCGGCTTTCGCCGTGTTTTTAAGTCCCCTCAAGAAAGGGTCAACGAGGGACCACCCTGAAATCCCAGTTTGTTTAGGTTTGTTAGGCAAAGTTCCCCATGAAAAACGTGATCAACCCCCCAACAGGTTCCCCTTTTCCAGGGTGAAGGCGCTTTTCCCCAATGCGCCAGCGGATTCTGCCGAATCCTGGGCCGCTTGTTGCCACCCCCGGAGAAAGGTCCTCATCAGTTTGGCTTATTAAAGGGCCAGCCTAGTCCTTGTCACAAGCGGTTTTTTCCGGCACAAAATGAAACACGTAGGCGAGCAAGCTACTGCCGAGTCCATTCTACAAAGGCATCTTCTAAATTACGTTCGGAAAGGTGGTTGGCAGCAAAAAGCACCCCCAAAGTACTAGTTTTGAAAATCTCTCATAACGGAACCGCGCATCAGTTGCCTGCACTCGCCACTTGTGAATGCCGAGTTGCAAATTGAACCCTGCTGCTTCGAGGACCCAGAGTGATCAAGTGACTTCCCCCCCGGAAATGATCAATCCCAGAACTGGGTTGTTTCTACCACCTCACATTTAGGTAAAAAGGGCATCAAAAAGAAAGAAAAAACAACGCATTTTTTTTTGGGGGGGGCAATAAGAAAACACACATGAAAGAAGCGATTTCGTTTGGGGCAGGGGTGAGAAACAACGTCCAGAAAGAAACAAACAATGGTTAGTTACTGTTTACTTACATCTTTTTTCGACGCACAAGCCGACCAAAAAAACACGTTAAGTTGTTTTTTCTTCGGATTTCAGGTGTTGATCACGCAACGGATCGTGCGCCCACCCGTGGCCGCCATCTCGGCGAGGCGCAGGGGAGCCGCTGAGAGGCTGTCCACCGGTTTTGTCTTACCCTCCCAGAAATTCACATGGAACCTGCCAGATCTGTTGTATTTCATGGGGGCTGGGGGGGAGGGAGTCCCTCCCCCTCCCTCCTCCCCCCAGCCCCCATGAGTCTTCCTTGCCGCATCCTGTAGAGGCTTGTAATCCAGGGTGTTTGTGACTTTCAAGGCTTACAACCCGTCTTCAAGCACTTGTGGCAGCTG